AAATAAATAAATAAATAAATAAAAATAAAACCATGCAATTCATTCTGGAACTAAAAAGGATCTTTCATACAATTTACCCTCATCACTGATAAAGTCTGGACGAAAGCAATCCAGTGGTATGTCCAAGGTCAGACACGTATAAAGCAATTCTAACAGAGCTGCTCTTCTTTAGCCCTGAGTTTTCTTGAGAACACTGTACTGCCACCTAGCATAATGAGTAGAAGACCGTTCTTTGAAGGCCAATAAGTAAAAAGGGCTTAACTTCCAGAAAAGATTCCCTAAATACCGTGTATAAATACGGAACCATCTTATCTCCATTTCTTAAAAAGCATTATGTGAAGACATTAGATATATAATACACTGTAGGTACTCAATAATTGTTTAATAAATGAGCAAATTTTCAATTAAATAGCCCCTTACTGTGACACTATTTAAGTATCCAAATCCCACTTGTCAAAGTGGTTACATTTAAATATTTTTACTTACCTGATATTTAAGCCAATGAAGTTTGTCCATGTGAAAATATAATCTCCACCAAAGACCATTCCAATATAAGTTATTAATATATTCTACAAAGAAAAACGGCAAGATGCTGTAACATAGGTTTAACTGAGCTTTTTCAATATTCATATAAACTTATCCACAGAATGGCCCAAATACCTATCCTTAAAATACAAAATCAAATAAACGGACAATAACAAAAACCCACCAATCCTAAAATGAGTATAGTATGAAATAAGAAATAAAAAATGGCATTAACTTCTTCTCAATCTATCCCTCCAAAAGCTAAATGCACTCACTGACAATTATCACCAGATAATCAACTTCCCGTGCCCCATGACATGGGCTAACGCTGTAAATCTAGACAGAGAAACACTGTTGTCACTAGGGGTAGAAAACAGTCATGTGCGTTTGGCAATCAGAAAAGAATGCTTTTCCTCCCACTGAGGTAACTGTTGACCTGTGAGGGTAAAGTGAAGAAGGAAAACCTCACGTGTAAGCATCTCTCCCTCTTCTTTAGAAAGGAAAAAGGGGATGACAGGGCATTTACCAACATGAACACGGTTTTTGAGGTATCTTCTCTGGTATCTTAAAAAAATACATGAAAAGTCATCTCAAAGTCCCATACTTAAAATTACCTCTCCTGACTCCCTTAAACTCCCAGGTTTGTAAACATCTGCTTATCTGGCTCCCTTTTAATTATCTGCAGGCCACAGAGGTGAAATAAACTTTCCCGAAGTTCAAGCTACTCTTCAGTTCTTCCCTAACCTCCTCTCTCTCACATTCAGAAGGCACCGCCTGCCTCTCCACTGTGACAGCTGTCGGGAATGGGAAATGTCACAAATTTTTAGAACCTGGGATCGCCTAGATCGGGTCTACGAAGCAGAAGTAAAGTGCCACAGTGTTTTTGAAAAGCCAAAAAGAAACTTCAAATTTATAATGGGAGTGCCCTTTGGGAGAGCATTCGAAATTATGTCAGCCTCTTCTAGGTCTAAGGATGGAGACAGAAAGTTACCTCAGAACAGATTTTCTTAGTGTTTTGAGGGGAAAGAGCAAAATTAAATACCATGCAACAGTAAACAAGGTCAGTAGGCGACTTGGGAAAATGTGTAACAGGATCGGCTTAGAACACAGAGCTCCAGAGAGATGGCAGGTTAATCTGCATAAAGCGCCCAGGAGCTACAGAAAGGGAAGGGACTGAGAACCCAAACCCTGCTGCTCAAAATCAATTAGGACAAGACAGCGACGCCCCCAAGCAGAATTCATCAGCAAGCGCAGAAGAGAAGATGCTAGTACCTCAAAACTCAGACTGCAATTCTCAAATGTTAGCGTACCTTGTTAAAAATGCTGGTTTCCAGGCTCTACTTCAGAGATTCTGATTCAGTGTATAAGAGGTGGGCATAGGCACTTCCATTTTTAATTAAGTATCCTCAGTAATTTTCCCACCATGCTTCAGAGAAACAAGAACCAGGGATAGCCCCTTGGGGAACAATGACTGAGCTAAAAGGGTTGTATCTGAGAGGCTAATGAAAGAAGCTCCACGGTGGACCATGAGACTCTGAACCAGCAAGGGCATCGGCGTACTCCCCTCTGTCTGAAGACGTAAGAAAGCCTTCGAGAGCAATACCACAACACAGTGAGAAGCAACAGCAGCTGTAAATCAATCTAGTTTTTTTCCTTCTCTCTAGAGTTTGGATGTAAAACTGATCCCTTTGGACAAAGTCCATAGGGCTCTGTGGGGAGGAGGAAATATCAAAAGTACTAGACCTTCTTTAATAAGACCATGATTATATTTGTACCCCATGCTGATAAATACAAAGAAAGTACCCTACAAAATCTTAAGCAAATAGGTTATTAAAATTAAACACTGGCTTTCAGGCAGTATCCATTTTGGCAAAAACATGGTAACAACTGGCCTGTCTCTCATGTTCTTGCTCTTCTTATTCTGAAGATACAAGCCATTCACTTTGCTCTTGAAAAGGGCATTTACTTTACAAAATCAAAACAGAGCTGAGAGCTAATTTGAGGGGCTAAAATTATCTTAGCAAGCCCAGGCCTGAACGTAGATTAACTGCCTCTAGCTTTCATGGGAATTCACACAACTAACTGGTTCTAGCTTAATTCAGAATTCTATTTACACCAAACACTCTAATTCCATGATCTGAAGTCACAGACCTGAAATTTTAACCCAAATCTAGTTTCTAAAGTGAGGGCAGGTGGACACCACTCCATGGGGGTGCAAAGGGAAACATAGCAGGGCAGTAAAACTTTATTCTGCAATCCCTTCCCTCACTATTGACAAATGGGGAATCAGAAAGGAAGTCCCAAGGGCAAGCACTCCATTTCCCAAATGATCAAGGACCTACCTCTCTCTCTTTTTTAGAAAGCAAGCCTACCCTAATTCATTTGGAAATCAGGCATGCCGTGGCCTCTTGGATCTTAAAGCACTAGAAACTCAAAGTCAGATGAAAGAGGCCTCAGGCTACAAGCCACTAACTTCAGCTCAATATTTAAGTCAACTTTGGCTCCCCTGGCTGAAGACAAATGAGCCTCCCCTCAAATAAAATGGATCAGGAGGAAATGACATCACTGGAAATGTCAGACACAGCTTTTAAAAGTAGGCCATTTAAGGTTTGGCTCATGCACTGGAAAACTCCCTTGATTAACTTCTGGCAGGCCTCCTTTCCCTACAACAGCCAGAACTCAGGAAGGCAGAGAACAGAACAGTTTTCACTGGCGATTAAAGGGACAGGCCTATCACTCCCAAGTTAGTCACCTACCCTGTCTGAAACAAGCCTAATTCCTCTTCCCCTACTCTAAGGTAACCCATTCTCCTTTTCCCATATTCCCCAAAGCCTAGCTGCCTGAAAGCAGAGATTACGCCCTCCCTGAGTTCTTAAAGATCGTTTGAGAAACCAGCACCACAACCCATCAAACCAAGACAATCTGTGAGGAAAGAAGGATGATGGGGTTTTAGGCCACAGCAAGATTTAGAGTAACAATTTTTAAATAAAGTAGGTACCCAAAAGATAACAGTATTTTTTCAACTCACTTTAATACAGCCGACTATTGTAGTTGTAAGAGCAGAATTGTACTGCGTGCAGAGTACTGTGGCGTACATCAAGATAAACCTGGAACAAAGAAGGAAGAGGTGTAAGAGCCAGTTGCTTACTTTATAGCAATCTTTAGCCAAAAGAAACAGTGTTGGCCATGCTAGCACATTTTAGTCACTGACTATGAGCTTTCCCTATCTCACCCCTGCTTGTACTGCAGCTTTAGATTTTTTTAAAATTTCATTAAAGAGAAACACATGTCCAATTACTGACCAGGTGTTTTCCCCAGCTACCCTCACCAAAACCTTGAAACCACCATTCCTAATCATAGGTACTCTTCTTAGATCATATTCCCACTAATTCACCTAACGCAGATAGAAAGCTGAGCTCACAGACCACGGCTCAGGTGTGCACCTCCCATGAGGTCAATGTGACCTCTGGACAGGAGGCAAGAGAGATTCTTAAAGATGGAAGAAACCCAAATTAGCACTACTGTAAGAAGGGATATAGGTTCACTTAACAAGTAAGTGGCAGCAGTTGGAATGGGCAGATTTACAACGAGGCTTCTGAGCCTGACTCAGTACCAAGGCACCATGGTAATTTTATTTTGAAGCACTTCCTCACTGGGCACCTAGCCTGTGCCAGATCTAGTCATAAACACCAACCAAACTGACCGGCTCCGGAAAATAATTCCTCAGGGAAACACAAAAGCGAAGAGAAGAGGCACATTAGCAGATACCTCTTGCCTTCCACATATACTCTTCTAAGAGGAAGACAATCTGGTAGAGAGAGTCAGCCCCACATTCAAAGGCCACCACTGCGGACTGCGCAAACTTAGACAGCTGACTTGAGTTCTGGGCCTGCTTCCTCATAGGTAAGAGGACAAAAATATGTGTCAAATGGTCAATGTAGTAATAAAAGAATGCATTCTGAAATATAATGGTGCTTATCACATTCCAGGTTATTGGGTAAATAGTTACTTGTCTCCATCCTTCCAAAGATGACTTTGGAATTAGTTTAGTAGCCCTAAGGGCACATTCCCAAGGGCTGTGAAACCACCTGAATCTGGAAGTTTAATTACCCTATACTGATATACTCAAGAGACTGAACAGGATACTTAGAAATGAAGCAAAAGGACCCCAGAACAAACTTCTCTAGGAAAACAGTCTGCTAATAAGGCAAAAAGGCTTACCCCATCACACAAGAGAGGGTGAACTGCAGAAGAAAGAGGGTGTCAGCCCAGCCTTCAAAATCCATTGCCTGTAATACACAAGAAAGTATCTGATTTTAGAGCAAGCCCTCAAAATCAGCTGTTCTATTCTTCCATCAAAATCCTGGGTACTCACTCCCACCACACATACACATATATACACTTCCCTGCATCGCTCACAGGACAGAGAGTGATGTTTAAGAATTTGATACATATGGAGCTGAACCCAAAAAGCAGTTTCAGAAGGTTTTCTCCTTTCTAAAATGTAATGTGGGGAAGATTTTGTACTTCTCCCTATCGGTACAAAGAAACTGATATTTGCTGGAAAGCAGAAGCCGTATCTGGCTCATCTCAGCAGTTCTCCCAGATGGCTAGTATTAAAAGCTTTCTCTAACATTAAAACATACTTCTTCCCTGTAACATGTGAAAGCTCAAGTGCACCCTTAGTTACACAAATTCAGCTGAGGTCTATCTATCCAGGGAGAATTACTATTTTGAAACAGTTGATAGTAAAAGCAAGGTTTTATTGCTGTTTTAAGACAAAAAGCGAAGGGGGCGCCTGGTGGCTCAGTTGTTTAAGCGACTGCCTTCGGCTCAGGTCATGATCCTGGAGTCCCTGGATCGAGTCCCGCATCGGGCTCCCTGCTCGGCAGGGAGTCTGCTTCTCCCTCTGACCCTCTCATGCTCTATCTCATTCTCTGTCTCAAATAAATAAATAAAATCTTTAAAAAAAAAAAAAGACAAAAAGCGAAGGAAGAGAAAAGGTGCATCGATCACCTCATCTCTCATCTAAGAGGGAGGGTTTCTTGATCTCAGGTACATATTTTCTCTTGTAATATCAGTTTAAGCAAATATGAGAAACATTCCACCTTTTATCTTTCTGCCAACCTATCCAGCTTCAGTTCTTGCCACTTCAACATAAACCTCACAGCTGCCAGGCCCCAGCAATATGAGACTCTTTACCGTTTGTAAAATACAACATGCAGTTTCACACCCACATGCCTTTGCTTGGAATGCCCTTCTCCTCAACATTCTTCTGACTCCTGTTCACTGATCAGACTAAAACTCAAGCAGCCACTATGTGGGGCCTCCCCTAGTAAGAACTCCCCTCTCTGGGCCTCAGAAGTACTTCTCTCTGGGACTCTCATCTCTCTGAGTGGCAAGTCTTTCTACACCGTGTCTACCACCAGTGAGCTCCCTGCAGGGAAGACCCAACATCCATCTAGCTAAGCAAATTCCTAACACAGCACTTGGCAAACAGTAGACGTTCAATTTGTTTATGGTTCTTTCTTTGTTGAGGCATAATATGTAAAAATTAAAATCAATCACTTTTAAGTGTATAATTCAGTGAGTCTTGACAGATGTAACCACCATTACTTTTTCCCTCCTAATCTATATGACTTTTAGTCTCTTGTTTTTACCTTACTGCATAATGACATCCTCTGGTATAATGTTGAATAGAACATTATAGGAGAGCAGCTATTCTCCCCGTATTCTCAATCTCAGTGAAAAGGTATTCAGTCTTTCACCATTAAGTATGTTAGCAATAGATTTTTTTTTTTCTTTTTGGTAAAGGTCCTTTATTAGGTTGAGAAATTTTCCTTCTATTCCTGGTTTGCTGAAAATTTTAAACTCATGAATGGGTATCATATTTTATTAAATACATGTTCTCCATTTTTTGACATGGTTCTTCTATTTCTTAATTTCTTATTAATTCATACTAATATGGGAAATTACACTGATTTTCAAATGTTAAACTAACCGTAATTCCTGAGATAAACATAATTTGGTCATATAGTGCCCTTTTTATATATTGCAGGCTTTCTTTTTTTTTTTTAACTGTAATTTCCACCCCCTGCCCTTGAAATTTTTTGTCAACTATCGGTACAGGGTATGCTGGCCTCTTAAGGTCAATTGGGAAGTATTCTCTCCTTTTCTATATTCTGAAAGAATTTATGTAGATTGGCATTATTTCTTCCTTAAACAGCTTGTAGAATTATCCAGTAAAGTGATCAAGGCCTGGAGTTTTCCTTTTGAGAAGATTTTTAACTAAAAGTCAATTTATTTAATAGAGATAGCACTAAATAGTCAAATTGATTAGGGCTAATTATTTAAGTAGAACTATTTAATATTTATTAGAATGTGGCTATTCATGCTATTTTTTTTTTTTTAAGATTTTATTTATTTGACAGAGGGAGACACAGTGAGAGAGGGAACACAAGCAGGGGGAGTGGGAGGAGAAGCAGGCTTCCTGCTGAGCAGGGAGCCCAATGTGGGGCTCGATCCCAAAACCCTGGGATCAAGACCTGAGCTGAAGGCAGATGCTTACCAACTGAGCCACCCAGGCGCCCCTATCTATTTCTTCTTGAGTGGGCTTTGGTAGTTTCCCTTTTTCAAGAATTTGTCCATTTCATGGACATAGTTTTTCAGTTTATGGCATAATGTTCATAATAATCTATTATCCTTTTAGTAAATGCAAGCTCTGTAAGGATACCACTCTTTCATTCCTAATACTGATAATTTGTGCATTCTCACTTTTTGTCCCTATCAATTGGCAATGGTTGAGCAATTTTATTGATATTTTATTGACCTCCAGGTTTTAGGTTCATTGCTTTTTCTCTATTGCTTTTCTGTTTTTATTTCATTGATTTCCGCTCTTACCTTCCTCATGTTTCCTTTGGGTTTAACTTGCTCTTACTTTTTCTAGTTTCTTAAGGGAAAGGCTTAGGTCACTGATTTTAGATCTTCTTTTCTAATGTATGCATTTAATTAAGCTATGGATTTCCCTCTAAGCACTCCTTTAGCAGCATCATTTTGCTATGTTGTGTTTTGATTTTCATTCAGGTCTAAATGATTTCTAATTTTCTTCACGATTTTTTCTTTGATCCAGGTGTTATTTAGAGGTATGTTTATTTCCAAAGATTTGAAGGTTTTTCCATATATCTTTATGTTATTAATTTCTAGTTTAATTCAGTTCTGGCCAGGGAACATACTTCCTATGATTTCAATTATTTTAAACTATTAACACTTGTTTTATGGCCCAGAATATAGTTTATCTTGGTAAATGTCCCATGTGCACTTGAAAAGAGTGTTTATTTTGTTGTTGAGTGGAGTGTTCTATAAATGTCCATTAGGTCAAATTGGCTGATGGTGTTCAAGTGTTCTACAGCCTTAATGGCTTTCAGCTTAGTTGTTTTATCAATTACTGAAAGAGGAATGTTAAAATAGCCAACTGTAACTGCCAATAATGTACTTAACCTTTTTGTTTTATCAGTTTCTGCTTCATATATTTTGAGGCTTTCTCATTAAGTACATATATATTCAGGATTGTTATGCCTACTTGATAGAACTCTTTCAGCATTATGAAATGTTCCTCCTTATGGTATAGTTTGTTTAATATAACTTACGGTTTGTTGAGTTTCTTGTATGTGTGGATTTAGTTTTCATCAAATTTGGAAAAAAATCTGCCATTAATTCTTCAAAAATCTTTCCTACCCCCGCCCCCTTCTTCAGGATAATAGTTACACGTATGTTAGATCTCTTGATACCACCCCACATGTTACTAGTAATCTGTTCATTTGTTTTCCAGTCTCTTTTTCTCCATGTGCTTCATCTTGGATAGTTTCTATTGCTATTTCTTTAATCCACTGATCTTTTCTTCTGCAGTGTCTAATCTGCTGTTTAATACCATCTGCTTTATTCTTCAATTCAGATTATTATATTTTTCATCCCTAAAAGTTTAATTTGGGTCTTTTTTACATCCTTTTCTCTTCTCATCCTTTCTCTCTCCACAATCCTTTACTACCTATTGTCCAATGTCTGAAAACCATTTTTCATATATATTTGGTATTCTAGTAGGTTAAGGCAGGAAGGTAAATCCTATCCCTGCTATTCCATCATGGCTAAAAGCCAAAGACCAAATTCAATTATTGACTTGAATTATAAACCTATCTCAAATGATGCTTCCACTAGGAAGCTTTGCACAAAAACCCACATTCACATTAGGCTCTTTCCTGCCAAACTGTCCAAAACACTAAGTGCTACTTTTATCACTGACACTGCATGTATGTGACGAAGTACATGTATGTATGTGACTCTCTGTATCTGTATGTACGTGGTCAGTGATCTATCCAGACACGGTGAATGCCTTCAGGGTTTATCTCCCTGACCACAGTGCTTAACAAAGTGACAGCAAACAGAAAGTGTTCCATAACTCTTTGTTAGAGAATGAAGGATAAAGAATAAAGAATGTTATGCTCTTTCATACCTGTAAACATGGTATGATGAGAAACCATTAAAGCACAATAAAACACAGGCCTAGAACTCAGGAGACCAGCCTCTATCAGCAAGAATATAAATTCCTTGAGAGCAGGAGCAATGTCAAATGTCACTTCTGCCTAGCTCCAAGTGTTTGTAAGTGTTAGGCACAAATAGCTGAGGTGAATTAAATATCCACACTCCGTGGTTTAGCATCATTTTCTACAGGCAGATGAGGTGAACTTTACTTTTTAATACACCCACATACCTACCTGTATATGCTACTAAATACATTTCAAGTTTCATACTAAATCTATATAATTTTATATAGATTTATATAATTTTAAATTTTCTTAAAATGGTAAAAGTCATTTTACTGGCATACAACTCATTAGTTTTTGCACTGAATTTATTTTTTCTTTCTTTAAAGAGAAAAGGCATAACACAGCAAACCAGCAGGTGGGCACAAGAAGAGGTATCTTTGAGAGGGTTGCCGGCACCCAGCAGGAAAAGCCATGATACCTAAACAAGCAGCACACCGGGATTCAGAAGCGCAGTATCTTGCACCAGCTCACCACTGTTTCATTATACCAGCCTTAGCTTCTGTGAGGGAGGTTAAACTGGGTGCCTGTTAGTGTTAGATCAGCTTCAAAAGGAGATACCTTCCTTCACTCAAGCTGAAACACATAAAAGAAATCTCAGGCCTAAGAACCTTCCTCAACTCTAAATTATCCTCCTTTCCAAGATAAGCTACTCTTTTACCCTAAAGTCACTAAGAGAATAAAGCTGGTGT